GGGCCATCCAGCCAGTTCTTAACTCAGACTATTTATAAGTACAAAAAACATTTCTACCCTGAGAAAGTATTTCAACCATGTATTTGCTCATTTTGGGGTTGTGCTACCTTTAGTGGTTCTCAAACCCTCAGAGTTGGTGTAGCTTGTTTCTCTTCTCAATGTGAATTTATCCTCCTGCCTGGTCCTTTGGACTTACTGCAATGTCTGGGACACAGCAAAAAGCAGCAAGGAGAACCCAGCTCAGAGCCTGTGCTGCTTTTCCAGCAGTCTAAGGGGTTTCCACAAAGTTTCTTTCCAATTCTACTAGTTATGGAGAAATAATCCTCTACATCTATTACAGCAATTACTTTCAGAGGTACACATTTACTCTTTCACCCACACACTGTATTTGATTAGATTAAAACCTGGATCAATTTAAAGGGAGGCAGATGCAAACAAAATCCCTCTGTAATTTATCCTGTGATTCAGACCATTTCAACCCAGGGGATCTAAAGAACTGATGAGTGCTGTATTTCTAGTGATTTATTGGTTTTGTGATTCCTGCCTGGGTGAAATGTGGTTTGCAACAAAGAAAGAAGACAGGGAGCTCAAATCAGTCCATCTGTCACTGTTTGCATCCACAATAAATCTGGAATAAAACCTGGATGTAATTGAGTACCATCTCGATCTGTGAAGGTGTCTGTGCTCATAGACAGTTCATCACTGCCAATTTGACCACTGACTCCAGGCAGCTGTTGGAGCAGTGCAGCATCTTCTTGCTGGTCCTTCACTAGCTCTTTTGTCAGATTGAGAAACACCTATGGAGCAAGCAAACATGAAAGAATATTTGTCCAAATTACTCCATTTACCAAAACAATAACCAGAATCCACTCTCCTGCTTTTCGGCTGTAGTTAGTGCATTACAATGCTCCTTCCCTTCTTGCTCTGCAAGAGAAAGTCACCTTTTTTCCAGTATAACATTGTTGTTGTTCAAGTCCTTGTCACCTCCTGTCTCTCTTCTGCTGCAGCAGTAGAAACTTAAACCTTTGCAGCTGTCCCTGGACTTACCTTGTCCTAGTACTGCTTGCTATGTGACTAGTGAGTAGTTGTGAACAAGGCTGCACCTCAACTCAGGCCCTACAAAACTCTGCTCCTTCCACACTCACACAGTGGGCAGCACACAGAAGCTCTCTGCATGGCATCAGGCAAGAAACAAAGAGGGTTGTTTTCCTGGGATATTTTCCCCTCTAGCCTCTGACCACCCCAGCTACCCCCATGCTGGGAGTGTGCAGTCATGGCACCCAAGCTGCACCTGGTACATGATCTTTAACTTAGTCTTGCTGCCTTAGGAATACACCTTAAAAGCAAGAAAGAATTTCTGAGCAGAAATGCAACAATCTCCCTCCTTCTTTTCTGCAAGACAAGGGTCATCGCTGTTCATGATTTACTTTTGTTTCTCATGCAATTAAATGTGTTTATGGACCAGAAATTTCCCATGGCCAGAAAGGTGCCTGTTTCACTCTAAGATGCACCAGGTGACTCAGTTGCACAGTACAGCATCCACACTGAAGTCCATCATTTAGGTGGTTTCATAACTCCCTCCTGCTGACTGCATCTCCAGATGCATGGAAACCAGGAGAATAGTTCAGAGGGAAACACATCATTGCCCTCTCTGCTTAGTCTAACTCCAGTATACAGTTTTCTGGGTAAAACATCAAAAAGCTGTAAGCAAGGTGAGACAGTGGCACATTTTGTGCATTAGTGTATGTATAGATTTATGGATACATCTACACACTCACATGTTAGTGTTACCTAGTGAACAATCAAACCACTTCTTCCCTGCCTGAATCTCTCACATCCAAAATGTGCCACCATCTAAGTCCAGGAAGCAGAGCTACACCATGCTATGAAGTTCATCTCCATAACATGACATTAAATCCAGCAGATCCTGAGCACATACCTCTTCCACAGTCGTGTTTGAAATCCCATAGCAACCAAGGTGGAGATCATTCAAGCTGGTATCGAGGGCCCTGAGAAGAGCCTGGTAGGCCCCTGAGACCGTGGACTTGAAGGGAGGAAGCACATACACAAGCTCTCCGCCAATATCTTCCTTGAGATAAGCCTCTGGGAGATGGGACTGGATCAAGGAGGTCACTGCTGTGGTATCACACTCCTCTATCATGTTCTGAAAAAGGAGGAAAACACTTTGTGGTCAATGAGAGGGCTGTGAGGTCAAATTCCTCCTGCAAGACGTAGCCCAAATCCTGACCCAGAGCATAATCAGTAAGTGATCTCAGAGCAGGTACACAGCCAGTATTCCAAGGTAAATGTCCTCACTAGGCTCCCTCTGTCTATAGGGATTCAGATTGGGCTGAATCAACCACTTAGCACTAGCTAGAGAGTTTGTAGTACAACAGAGAAAAAGCCTGGCCACCAGATAGCTGTCACCTGAACCTGGCTGCCAGCACAAACACACCTTTCCCCCATGAAAAATGGGGCTTCCACATGGGTCTTTTTTCATTTGCTCACTCTACTGACAGCAGCTTGGAGAAGGGGCTGAGCTCTCATGGTATCTATGATCTATGTGCTGGAGCTACCAATAGACACTATGATGAGCAGAGTTCCCTACTCCTTGTAAGGAGAACATTTTGCCTCAGGCCAGACACTATGGATGGATTCTTTCCCTCTGCTTTATTCCTCTGAACTCCAGAGTTCACACCCTGCTCCCAGCTTTGCCTTTAGCCCTCAAGGAGACCCTGTTGCTTTTCCACAAAGCAATGCACCAACATTCCTGTTTTGGAGGGCCATGGAGGCTGGTCCAGTGGCCCTGCTGGAGAGCTTCCCTCTGCTTTGAGGAAAGCAAAAGCACAGGTTCTGTTAGCGTCTTTCATCTCACATCCAGATTCTCAATAGTTCTTTGGCACCACTATGTCCTTGGATCTATCACTCAGTTCCTGTCAGTATAGTTGTAAGTGCCTGCATCCTTCAGCAAGCCTTGACTGCCCCCTCGGAGATGGACCTGCCAAGAGCTCTAGCTCTAGGACCAATTAAAACACAGACCTTCTTTTTTGTGAGTGTCAGGTGGTATCCATCACCAAACGTTTCCTTGAGGTAGAAAGGTGAACCACAACACTTGAGCCCTCCATGCTCTAGGAAGGCAATTCGGTCACTCAGAACTTCTGCTTCATCCAAGTGATGTGTTGAGAGAATGATGGTTCTGCCTGGAAAACACAAAGCTGATGAGACAGGTGGAAGTTTTGCTGAATGAGGGGAGACAGAGCATCAGGTGAAAATCAACTGCATTTTTGGCAATTATCATTGAAATTGGAAGAACGGCAACATTAGAGAGAAGCTGAAAGTTACTGTATTGTAAATGGTGTGTTATGGTAAAGTTACTTTTCAAATGACACTGGATTTACAGAAACCAACCAGAATGCACCCTGTAGATCTGCAAAATCCCAGTCTCCCACAATTCTTTCTCTGTGGCCCCCAAAACCCACAGTTCAAAGCCACTGATAGCATATTTGCAACAGCAACACAAGATCCCCTTTGCCACTGAGCAGCATCTCCTTTAATCATGATACCTTTTTTATTCTTGGAGATAATTTCCCAAATACTCCTCCTAGAGCATGGATCCACTCCTGTGGTTGGTTCATCAAGTATCACCACCCTTGATCCACCCAGGAGAGCAATAGCTATAGATAACTTCCTCTTCATCCCCCCAGACAGGGCGCCAGCTAGCTTGTGACGATGGCTGTACAGTCCAGTCTCCTTCAAAGTCCTTGAAAACAAAGGAAAAACAACCCCCAAAGGTTGTCCTTCAGGCATCTTTTAAAAGCAGAGAATCTGAAAGTACCCAAAAAAAACATAACTGCAAATGAAAAACTGCTCAAGTATGGACTGCTCTACTGAATGGTCACAGTGCAAGGAGACAAGTCACCCTGTAGCTCAGTCATTGGGATTTTAATTTAATACATTTTTTAGGATGTTTTCAAAGTTTCCATCTGACAAGCCAAGGTTAAAGGCTTAACCCCATCAACTGAGACATCAAGATCCAAACTCCCTGGGATGTTTTGGCTGCTTCACTTCTCCACAGAACCAATAAAGCTAACACCATTTTTCTGACTGGCTGATTAAATCTCTTTCTGGGGAAAACTGTAAAGCAGCAAGGACTAGACCCTAAATTTATCTCCAAAGAATTGCCACAGAAGCTTGTAAACCCCCTGAAGAAGAGACATTGGTTTCTTATAGCCACAGGTATCAATATGTTCCTCTAGTCAGACCAAAGCATCATTTGAACCTTATGCTGGATCTGCAACACTCCTCAGATCCATTCATTTGAGCCTTGCAGTGGCACTGGGACTGCCACACAAAAATTTTGACACCCTCTCTCCCTTCTCCAACCCTGCTAATTTTATACCTCTTCACTTCTTGGTAGAGCTCCTGTTTAGTCCAGTGAGGGACTTTGATGTACCCATAGAGCAGCAGGTGTTCCTTTGTAGTGAGGTAGTTAAAGAGCACGTTGTGCTGCATACACACCCCCATGTTCTTCCTGATAACCTCCTGGTCAGTCCTGATGTCTTTGCCATATACAAAGATAGTACCTGATGACGTGGGGAACAATCCAGTCAAAATAGATCTGAAGGAAAAATAAATAGAAAGGGAAGTTGGAAAAAGGTGAAAGCCATAGGTCATTTTTTCACATGGTCCTGTACCTGTCATTAATGTTTCCTTGTATCACCATCACATTCCTTCCAGCCACAGACTATCACCCACTGCGTTGTCTGCTGCTCAACCATGATCACAGACCCAGAGCCAATTAACATCCATGGACATCCTCATACTCCTCTGTAGGAACTCAAGGGCAAGCACCAAGCTCACACACTGAACCCTGGCTACTTTTCACATGTACTTCTATCTTCTTCAGCCTTCCTCTCCCTAAGTCAGACCACTGCACATTCCACACACCAATACTCACACATACCCTCGACTTCCAGTTTAATTACAGGGGAATCATATAATGCAGTTACACTTCATGCTTTGGGGTTTGCCTGAAAGCCACCTCTTCATCTTACTTACTACACCAGAGCATAGAGACCTGATTTCACTGCCATTATTAATGAGAAATAGGAGAGGACTTCTGGAAGAGGCATCTCACAGTGGGCAGCAAATTCATCTAGTTCAGGCAAGTAATTACCCACTGAGCGATAGCCAACAGACCTGAGTCAAACACCCTCTGCTCAGAATAGCTACTTCCACATTGCAGCTCATTTTTGGTGCTGTCCTGCAGGCACTAGAGGGAGAAGATGTGTCTCAGACTGCCCTTCACCTTTGCAGAGCTTCTCTCTCTCCTGAGACTTTTAGCCATCATTAAAAAGCAGTAAATTTTGACCTTACTCACAATTTGAAGCCTGAAGTTTCAAGAAGGTTTTATACTTCTCTGCTCATCACCTTTGCCTACACTTTGCGAACAGGATATGAGATGAATTGATAATAAACTGAGATGAAGCACACATCTGTCTTACTGGTTTTGGCTCTTCTGAGGCTTCTATTTATCAGCTTAATGTTGCTTTCAGAGATATGCACATATATATTAGTGGAGAAATCAAGTTCTACAGGTCTGGTTTAGTGCTGTTATCTAACAAGTCAAATAATAATTTATGAGCAGCAAGGCTGAAAGGCCAACATATTAATCCCCTTCCATTCCAGCCCAGCCAACACATGAGTCTGCACAGCTGAAGTACATATTTATTAAGTTTTCTTGGTAATATCACTTTGCCTTTGGTGTATGCACAAGCTACCCACAGCTTCCACAGCTACCTAACCCCAGGCACCAAAGTGCCATGGAACAAAATACCTGAACAGTTGCTGTGCTGTGTATTACAGATATCCTAGCAGATTAAAAAGTGTGTTCCTAAGCGGAAAAGAGTCTTTCATTCTAACAGATGAAGGAACTCCCGAGGTCATCCATGAGCAAGGTAAAACTACATGAGAGATTTGGCCTAATAAAGTATCTTACTCAGTTTCCCATTGCTGCACAGCCCCACTTGCTCTCTCCTTCACCCAATCATGCCCAACAGTACAAAAAAGAGCCACTTTCAAGGATACGCACATGGTTGTAGTTTTCCCAGCTCCATTGTGTCCCAGCAGGGAAGTGATATTCCCTTCATAGAAGTTGAGGCTGAGGTTGTCCACTGCAGCTTTGGATCCATAAACCTTTGTTATGCCATGGAGGGAGACTCCCAAGGTGAGATCAGTGGGCTCTGGTTCCACGTGAGGATGGGGGGCACCTTTGACACCAAAGAGAAGGGTCAGAGGACAGTTCCTGCAGTGCAGCAGGGGTTTGTGCTACTTTTCTCACCCCAGAGATAAGCAGGACTTTTGAAACCAAAATGCAGCAAAGGTAGGTGCCTTTCAGCAGAGAACATGTCACAGGATCTGTATAATTTTGAGTTCTCTGGGATTTCGCCTTTTTACTTCTACAGCTTCTAATAACTCCTGACAAAAGGCATTAATCACTTCTGAAAAGGTCTCATATTTAGGTGTTTCAGAGCACCTCGCTTAATTTATACTAAGCAAGCACAGAAAATTAGAGGACATACAGCAAAACTACTGAGTTATTTTCAGTTGGGTAGAACCAGCAAGCTTTTCTGTGTGATCTCACAATATTTTACAGGCTAAATATTCAAAGAGATGAACAAAAAGCACACAGCCCCTCCCTTTGCCAAGTGGAAACCTGTATTTGCTTAAACAAACACAAGTGTATTTCTATATGGAGCATTGTAGACTGAGAGATATGCATGTAAGGCACCTGTCCAACTGTAACATACACAAATATGTATGTGAAAACCTGTACTGGATCACCACAGAAAACAGGAAGAACAGGAGTAACTTAAAAGCCAAATCTCCATTCATGTAAGTATCTACCTTCAATTTTTCCCATGCTACAAAATAAGGATCAACAGATAAATGTGATTTCTGAGTATGTTTTATGAGCCTCCCTACAACTTTGGCTTTGTTTATCTAAAACACAAGTTATTATTGCTACTCCATCTAGTATCCACATACATATCTTATTGTTGAGGGTGACTTCTTTCCTTAACATCAGCTTGGAGAAGAGAAAGCCTCTTTGTTTCTCATTCCAGAAGGGAAGGTAGCCGTTGTATTCGATCCAGTAAGATGGAAGCAATGGGAAATACCAGGGAGCAGCCATGCCATATCTACCTGCAGAAAGAGGAGTCTCATTCAGGTATGTATCACTATTGGGGTTCACTCAAAATAGCCAAAATAACCTGCACAGTGATCTCTACCCTCTTGATGTGCTTCTGTACCACTGATACTTGGTACAGAGTCTGCCTGACTGGCACAATAGGAAGCACTCACTAATTTGTTATTCTGAGTGACTCCATAGCTGGAGGGCAGGAGTACTTTACATTTTCCACAGGGTGGATTTCCGTATGCCAGTGGACTGCTTCATTAGGTGGGGAAGAAAAGCAAAAGACAAATGTACTGGGTCTTGCCCAAGGCAGGAATTACTTTTTGAAATCAAATGATGTAAGTAACACAACTCAAAATCACTGAGCTGACAAATGCAGGCTAACATGCTCTGTTCTCATTCTCACCCACCAGACTGCAAACACATCCTCCTGTGTCCTTTGCTTCAAGCTTCTTCAGGAGACCCACCTACCCATGTGATAACCCTAACTCTCCCTTGCTCTGCTCTGCCTCAGTGTCATTAATACACTCAGACATCCACAAAGTCATCATCCCTTTGATCTCAAATGGAGGTATCCTGTGTGCGCAGACTGTCTCACTGCCTGAACCACTGGACAAGAGGGCACAGACTCAAGCTCTGCCAGGGGAGGTTTAGGTTGGATATTAGCAAGAAAGTTTTTGTGGAGAGAGTAATCAGGTGTTGGAATGGGCTGCCCAGGGAGGTGGTGGATTCACCATCTCTGGAGGTTTTCAAGATGAGACTGGATGTGGCACTTAGTGCCATGGTCTAGGAACCACGGTAGGGGTGGATTCAATGATCTTGGAGGTCTTTTCCAACCCGGTTGATCCTATGATTCTATGAATCAGTCAGTGCTGTGTTCACCATTTGACAAAAGAGATGGTACAGCACCACCTTCAATGCTTTGTGTCCTTACCTGGGAAAACATTCCTTATATACCAGCCCAGGATGAAGTAAATGAAGGAGTCTATCAGAATGAGCCAGCACATCCAGCCAAAGGAAGTGTTGTCTCCAATCATTGGGGACTTATACATGTTGTCCCACTGCAGACCTTCAGAAAGGAATTGAGAAATGCAATCAGAATTCATATTAGCCAGTGAAACATCACCACCATGGGAGCTCAAAGCCTAGTTTTGCTTGCAATGAACATACCTATGCCCTGCGCCTCGTAGCGAGCAATGTATTGACTTGCATAACTGAATGCAGTTGGAGACAACAGGCTCTGGGGAATAAACAAAGTTGAAAACAAAAAACTTATTAATTAGTCTCAAAGAGAAATCAAGTCAGTCAATCAATCAGGTACCTCATTGGCTGGGTCTAATAGCCACAAAAATGAGCAGGTTTTTTTTCCAACAGTCACAAAGAGCACTGGACTGGGCAGTGCTGCTGGTGACAGGCTGTAATGCCTCCTTAGACACTTTCTTTTGCTTCCCTACCCAGGACTCAACTCCTTCCTCATACAGGGCTTTATTTTAGGCTTTTGAAATACAGCAGTGCTTGAGAATTACCTCCTAGTGCCATGTGGCTAATTATTTTACCATTTGCATTAATAGATGTCCTTTCCTGAATCCGGGACTCAAAGAAAAAAGTCTGCTTTCTGGAACCTAATGCCTGCCTGTTCTGACCCTTGGTAGGAAACAAGGCTGTACATCGACTTCCATAGCTAGGAATTTGAGATACATGAAACTAAAGAATGAGTAGAGCCAGAACTGAGCAGAGCCAGCTCTGCTACCTAAATCCCTTACTGACACAGCCTCCTTTCTCATGGTCGCTGAAAGTAGTCCAATTTGCTCTGCAATTCCAAAGGGCAAATATGTAGCTCAGACTACTGTGATCCAGCTGGCAGGTGTGAACTCACTAAAATTGCACAAGTGGTGCTTTCAGTCACGGGACACAACTAATTCCAGGCCTCCCTCAAACAGGCCATGGCCAACACTCTTGTTGCATCTGTCAACACCCACTGAAGGAGCCCAGAAAGGCACCAAACTCACGGATATTTGGGATACCAGCTATAATAACAGCTCATGTTTACTGAAGGCAAGTGTCTGCCTCCACACACATGGTCCCTGTTACAGAAAAGCATAACTTACCAGTAGGCTCTTCACAGAGAAGCTCAAGTGATTCTCTATGACAAGCAACACGATGAAGGGGAAGAAGGTGAGGATATACACGAGACTGCCCACCAAGGCTGCTATGTTGGTGTTATTGAAGAAAACACTGATGAAGTAGCTCATGGCTATGATGGACAGGCTGTAGTCCATCAGGTACAGGAAGAGGAGCACTGTGTTTGTTTTGGGAAGGATGTCACCCACTTTCAGAACAGTAATGAGGAAGGTGACAGTAATCAGAAGGAAGATGGCACACTCTATGAACCAGGCAATGAAATGGCTGCTGGCATTAACACCCATCATCTTCATGTACTGTGGAGAGACAGGTGAAAATAACAATCATAAATGATATTTGAGAGAAATTAAGAGACCTTTCAGCTGATATTGAATGACTTCTTTTTCCAGCTCCTGGACTGGGCATGCAACCAGACCATGCTGTTTCATAGCATGGCATACTGCATGTTGCTATGCAGGGAGGAGCCACACACTCACATTTCTGAATGCCAGAGGTTTGCAAAGCAGACTATTGCAAAAGAACAGGACAGACAGGATCTGCAAGTATCAGGTGTCGAAGCTCACATGCTCCAAAGCAGCTTCTGGACTTAGATTTGTAACTTTTCTAAAGCATTACAGTTACTTTTTAAAAATAATGATAATTGATTTGGTGGCTCAAGCGTAAAAGCTCTTAAGTGTCTTTGAAACCAAACCATTTCTCACACAACCCCAAGTCAACAAATAATAGCTAAATTACCATGGTTACAAGGAAGCAATATTCATTTATTAATTACTTAGCTGATGATCAAGTCCCCAAGACTAATATTAAACTGCAAATGTGTATGGATAAATTCAAAAGAAACTACAGGTGCTGGTGTGTTCTTGGAGATTATTACACAGCTAAAAAGAATACTGGTTCTTAGAGACAGTGACAATGGTTCCCTAGGGTAAGGGGCTGCCAGGTAGCTACTGGGATTCACTGATTTTCCATCCCATGACCAGGTCACAGAGTGGCCTTTCTTGGAAATGGTTTTGTTTCCATGGTGTTGGATAAATACCAAATCTGCTTGAGCTTTTGTTGCTTGCTGAAGCTTAGTTTGACACAAGTTCTTTGCTGCTCATCTCTGTTGACAGTGATCACACTGAAAACCCAAGTTAATTTAATAAATTCCCTGTGTCTCAATGTCATTTCTTTTCCAAAAGGCAACCTGAATGAAGAACTTCATTTCAGAGGAGCTGATGTAATATGTAGTACCTTATGAAATATTAAGTATAATAACTTCAAGGATAAGAAATAAGTCACTCTTCATGTCTTTGTCCCCAGTAGGTATGACTCAAAGTCAATTTTTAGAGAGCTCTAAATCTTCAGAAAACTTGTAATTTTGTGAGATCCCCATGTTTCCAGTGTTCAGAACTGCAAAGCAATATTCCTCCCACTTGAAGGGCAAACACCCAGCATTTCTATGGCTTTGAGCTTGGTTACAATGTCAAAATCCAAACACTGCAGGTCAAACAATAGGTATGGGGAATATTTTGCTTAATGCTTGTTTTGCTCCATTTAATATTGCACGAGGCACACTAGCCACTAATAAGGAAAATCTGTTTATAATTTTGTACGCCCCAGAAAGTTTCACTGTACCTCATAAAGCCTCAGATCCTTCTCTTGAACAAGTGTTTTAACAAAATCAGCTATAAACAGCACCCAGGCAGCCATCAGAGCAAATGGAAGAGAGTAGGTCACGCTGGTTAAGAACCTGTAAAAGGCAAATGCAAGCTTTAGCTGAATGCAAAATGTTCTGGGGATTAAGGCTTTAGACAGAATATGTTTTTCAGAACAATACTTTGGCACAGGGAAAGACATGCCTATATTTCAAAACGTGGAGTATAATTAATAATTATCAAAAAAACCCCAAGACTCTTTTGCCATTGCATTGGATTTTCTAGTCATGAAACTCCTGACTGCTCAAAGTCTTTTTTTTTTTTTTGCATTACAGAGGGAAGGGGTGAAGGGCAGCACGAGTCCTGTGAGGAGAGGCTGAGGGAGCTGGGGGTGTTCTGTCTGGAGAAGAGGAGGCTCAGGGGAGACCTTATCACCCTCTCCAACTCCCTGAAAGGAGGTTGGAGTCAGGTGGGGGTTGGTCTCTTCTCCCAGGCAACCAGCAGGAGGACAAGAGGGCACAGACTCAAGCTCTGCCAGGGGAGGTTTAGGTTGGATATTAGGAAGAGATTTTTTACGGAGGGAGTGATGAGGCATTGGAATGTGCTGCCCAGGGAGGTGGTGGATTCACCATCCTGGGAGGTTTTGAATATGGGACTGGATGTGGCACTTAGTGCCATGGTCTAGTAACCACGGTAGGGTTGGATTCAATGATATTGGAGGTCTTTTCCAACTCAGTTGATTCTGTAATTTGCCAATTCATTCTGGAAGTTGTGCTCAGCAGCACCACTGGCAGGAGCAGGAAGGGCTGTGGGCAATGGTATCTCCTGGCTCTCTGATGGGGCCACATCCCATCTGGAAACATCACAGCAACCAGCCATAATTCCAAGTTCTGTTCATCGATATAATGGCCAAATTCATCAGGCCGTATTTCCTGGCACTGCAGTCCAGATATAGGTGCTTCTCTTCAGATTGTCTGTCCTACTAGCCCACAGGACAGATATTGTGGATCCAAGTCACACTGGCTCCTCACTTTAATTAAAACCTTCTTCCAGTGCCATATGTGTGCAGAAAAAACCCAGTGGCCAACACTAAATTTCTCCTTTTGTGATGGAAAGCAAGTTTTTATAGCAGAAGATTCCTTTCATTGCATCTGCAGGGCTTATGCTTTCCCCCTTCATTTCTAAACCTGGCTTCAAAAACATAATCAGTATAACTCCTGGGAAAAGTTTAATGTACAATAACAGTAAGAAATTAATATGATTACATCTGTTTCTATTTCTTTTCTACCTGTAAAGATGAAAATTTCCTGTAAACCAATGCTCCCTGAAATGTTTCCATGCAAATGAAGCCTTATTCATAAAGAACCATGAAATGGCATTTCAGTAGCTCTACTGGCTCTTTATTGTTTGGGGGTGTTTTTTTGCTACCACCTTGTGCATGATCTCTAGGCTATTAAAAATTCAGCATTTTCCAACACCTTCTGTGTACTGATATATGTATATTCCCTCCTT